TCTCTCACACCACATCAATAACTGCATTTAAATCAGTTACTGCCCAGGTCATATTGCAATATCTCACAAGATATCGATGACCGCATTCAAACAAGTCAATCCTCAGGTCATATTGCAATATCTTACATGACATCGATGACCGCATTCAAACCAGTCAATGCTCAGGACATATTGCAATATCTTACATGACATCGGTGATTGCATTCAAATCAGTCAATCCTCAGGACATATTGCAATATCTTACGCGACATCGATGATTGCATTCAAACCAGTCAATCCTCAGGACATATTGCAATATCTTACATGGCATCGATGACCGCATTCACACCAGTCAATCCTCAGGAGACCCGTGAAGATCCGGGGTAGAATAGGTCTTCAGCAACCCATGTGCTTGCCCTAAAAAGCGACTATCTTGTCGTAAGAGGCGACTAATGGGATCGGGTGGTCAGTTTCGCTGACTTGGTTGACAAATGTCATCGGTTCCCAATTGCGCAGATCGATGCTCATGCTGTTGATCACTGGATTGTCTGGTCCAGACTCGATTATTTACAGACCGCCGCCATATAGCTGGAATATTGCTGAGTGCGGCGTAAAACTAAACTCACTCACTCAATCCTCAGGACATATTGCAATATCTTACATGGCATCGATGACCGCATTCAAACCAGTCAATCCTCAGGACATATTGCAATATCTTACATGGCATCGATGACCGCATTCAAACCAGTCAATCCTCAGGACATATTGCAATATCTTACGTGACATCGATGATTGCATTCAAACCAGTCAATCCTCAGGACTTATTGCAATATCTTACATGGCATCGATGATTGCATTCAAACCAGTCAATCCTCAGGACATATTGCAATATCTTAAGCGACATCGATGACCGCATTCAAACCAGTTAATGCTCAGGACATATTGCAATATCTTACGCGTAATAGATGATTGCATTCATATCAGTCAATCCTCAGGACATATTGCAATATCTTACATGGCATCGATGACCGCATTCAAACCTCAGGACATATTGCAATATCTTACATGGCATCGATGACTGCATTCAAACCAGTTAATGCTCAGGACATATTGCAATATCTTACGCGTAATAGATGATTGCATTCAAATCAGTCAATCCTCAGGTCATATTGCAATATCTTACATGGCATCGATGACCGCATTCAAACCAGTCAATGCTCAGGACGTACTGCAATATCTTACATTATATGCTCAGATGGCCAAACTGATCCCACCACTCCATCCAGAATTGCAAAGACGATATGAACCCCTGGGCCCTGTGATGAAATCAATATTTTCAGAACCCACGTGTAGCCAGCCATGTGAGAATGGTGGAACCTGCGTCAGTGGAAGCTGTCAGTGTCTTAGTGGTTATACAGGGAGCTTTTGTGAATCAAGGGGTATGTAGGATTAAAGAAACACCGTCATCGACGACTAATCGAGACTGTATATTCTCTGGCTTTTGTGTTAATCGAAATTACTTGCAATATCTTACATGGCATCGATGACCGCATTCAAACCAGTCAATCCTCAGGACATATTGCAATATCTTACATGACATCGATGATTGCATTCAAACCTGTTAATCCTCAGGACATATTGCAATATCTTACATGGCATCGATGACCGCATTCAAACCAGTCAATCCTCAGGACATATTGCAATATCTTACATGACATCAATCCGCATTCAAACCAGTCAATGCTCAGGACATATTGCAATATATTACACCACATCGATGACCGCATTCAAACCAGTCAATCCTCAGGACATATTGCAATATCTTACATGACATCGATGATTGCATTCAAACCAGTCAATCCTCAGGACATATTGCAATATCTTACATGGCATCGATGACCGCATTCAAACCTCAGGACATATTGCAATATCTTACATGACATCGATGACCGCATTCAAACGAGTCAATCCTCAGGACATATTGCAATATCTTACATGGCATCGATGACCGCATTCAAACCAGTCAAACCGCAGGACATATTGCAATATCTTACATGACATCGATGATTGCATTCAAACCAGTCAATCCTCAGGACATATTGCAATATCTTACATGGCATCGATGACCGCATTCAAACCAGTCAATCCTCAGGACATATTGCAATATCTTACATGACATCGATGACCGCATTCAAACCAGTCAATGCTCAGGACATATTGCAATATCTTACATGACATCGATGATTGCATTCAAACCAGTCAATCCTCTGGACATATTGCAATATCTTACATGACATCGATGATTGCATTCAAACCAGTCAATCCTCAGGACATATTGCAATATCTTACATGGCATCGATGACCGCATTCAAACCAGTCAATCCTCAGGACATATTGCAATATCTTACATGACATCGATGACCGCATTCAAACCAGTTAATGCTCAGGACATATTGCAATATCTTACGCGTAATAGATGATTGCATTCAAATCAGTCAATCCTCAGGTCATATTGCAATATCTTACATGGCATCGATGACCGCATTCAAACCAGTCAATGCTCAGGACATACTGCAATATCTTACATTATATGCTCAGATGGCCAAACTGATCCCACCACTCCATCCAGAATTGCAAAGACGATATGAACCCCTGTGATGAAATCAATATTTTCAGAACCCACGTGTAGCCAGCCATGTGAGAATGGTGGAACCTGCGTCAGTGGAAGCTGTCAGTGTCTTAGTGGTTATACAGGGAGCTTTTGTGAATCAAGGGGTATGTAGGATTCAAGAAACACCGTCATCGACGACTAATCGAGACTGTATATTCTCTGGCTTTTGTGTTAATCGAAATTACTTGCAATATCTTACATGGCATCGATGATTGCATTCAAACCTGTTAATCCTCAGGACATATTGCAATATCTTACATGGCATCGATGACCGCATTCAAACCAGTCAATCCTCAGGACATATTGCAATATCTTACATGATATCGATGATTGCATTCAAACCAGTCAATCCTCAGGACATATTGCAATATCTTACATGGCATCGATGACCGCATTCAAACCAGTCAATCCTCAGGACATATTGCAATATCTTACATGACATCGATGACCGCATTCAAACCAGTTAATGCTCAGGACATATTGCAATATCTTACGCGTAATAGATGATTGCATTCAAATCAGTCAATCCTCAGGTCATATTGCAATATCTTACATGGCATCGATGACCGCATTCAAACCAGTCAATGCTCAGGACGTACTGCAATATCTTACATTATATGCTCAGATGGCCAAACTGATCCCACCACTCCATCCAGAATTGCAAAGACGATATGAACCCCTGTGATGAAATCAATATTTTCAGAACCCACGTGTAGCCAGCCATGTGAGAATGGTGGAACCTGCGTCAGTGGAAGCTGTCAGTGTCTTAGTGGTTATACAGGGAGCTTTTGTGAATCAAGGGATATGTAGGATTAAAGAAACACCGTCATCGACGACTAATCGAGACTGTATATTCTCTGGCTTTTGTGTTAATCGAAATTACTTGCAATATCTTACATGGCATCGATGATTGCATTCAAACCTGTTAATCCTCAGGACATATTGCAATATCTTACATGGCATCGATGACCACATTCAAACCTCAGGACATATTGCAATATCTTACATGGCATCGATGACCGCATTCAAACCAGTCAATCCTCAGGACATATTGCAATATCTTACATGGCATCGATGACCGCATTCAAACCAGTCAATGCTCAGGACATATTGCAATATCTTACATGACATCGATGATTGCATTCAAACCAGTCAATCAGGACATCAATATCTTACATTATCGATGATGCAGGACATATTGCAATATCAATCCTCAGGACATTATCTTACATGACATCGATGACCGCATGTGCATTCAATTTTCAGCTCAGGACATATTGCAATATCTTACGTTCATGACATCGATGATTGCATTCAAACCAGTCAATCCTCAGGACATATTGCAATATCTTACATGACATCGATGACTGCATTCAAACCAGTCAAACCTCAGGACATATTGCAATATCTTACATGACATCGATGACCGCATTCAAACCAGTCAATCCTCAGGACATATTGCAATATCTTACATGACATCGATGATTGCATTCAAACCAGTCAATCCTCAGGACATATTGCAATATCTTACATGGCATCGATGACCGCATTCAAACCAGTCAATCCTCAGGACATATTGCAATATCTTACATGACATCGATGACCGCATTCAAACCAGTCAATGCTCAGGACATATTGCAATATCTTACATGACATCGATGATTGCATTCAAACCAGTCAATCCTCAGGACATATTGCAATATCTTACATGGCATCGATGACCGCATTCAAACCAGTCAATCCTCAGGACATATTGCAATATCTTACATGACATCGATGATTGCATTCAAACCAGTCAATCCTCAGGACATATTGCAATATCTTACATGGCATCGATGATTGCATTCAAACCAGTCAATCCTCAGGACATATTGCAATATCTTACATGACATCGATGATTGCATTCAAACCAGTCAATCCTCAAACCTTAGTCGATGATTCAAATCCAGTCAATCAAACTCAGGACATATTGCAATATCTTACATGATATCGATGATTGCATTCAAACCAGTCAATCCTCAGGACATATTGCAATATCTTACATAGCATCGATGACCGCATTCAAACCAGTCAATCCTCAGGACATATTGCAATATCTTACATGACATCGATGACCGCATTCAAACCAGTTAATGCTCAGGACATATTGCAATATCTTACACGTAACAGATGATTGCATTCAAATCAGTCAATCCTCAGGTCATATTGCAATATCTTACATGGCATCGATGACCGCATTCAAACCAGTCAATGCTCAGGACATACTGCAATATCTTACATTATATGCTCAGATGGCCAAACTGATCCCACCACTCCATCCAGAATTGCAAAGACGATATGAACCCCTGTGATGAAATCAATATTTTCAGAACCCACGTGTAGCCAGCCATGTGAGAATGGTGGAACCTGCGTCAGTGGAAGCTGTCAGTGTCTTAGTGGTTATACAGGGAGCTTTTGTGAATCAAGGGGTATGTAGGATTAAAGAAACACCGTCATCGACGACTAATCGAGACTGTATATTCTCTGGCTTTTGTGTTAATCGAAATTACTTGCAATATCTTACATGGCATCGATGACCGCATTCAAACCAGTCAATCCTCAGGACATATTGCAATATCTTACATGACATCGATGATTGCATTCAAACCTGTTAATCCTCAGGACATATTGCAATATCTTACATGGCATCGATGACCGCATTCAAACCAGTCAATCCTCAGGACATATTGCAATATCTTACATGACATCGATGATTGCATTCAAACCAGTCAATGCTCAGGACATATTGCAATATCTTACGCGACATCGATGATTGCATTCAAACCAGTCAATCCTCAGGACATATTGCAATATCTTACATGGCATCGATGACCGCATTGAAACCTCAGGACATAATGCAATATCTTACATGACATCGATGACCGCATTCAAACCAGTCAATCCTCAGGACATATTGCAATATCTTACATGACATCGATGACCGCATTCAAACCAGTCAATCCTCAGGACATATTGCAATATCTTACATGGCATCGATGACCGCATTCAAACCAGTCAATCCTCAGGACATATTGCAATATCTTACATGGCATCGATGACCGCATTCAAACCAGTCAATCCTCAGGACATATTGCAATATCTTACATGATATCGATGATTGCATTCAAACCAGTCAATCCTCAGGACATATTGCAATATCTTACATGGCATCGATGACCGCATTCAAACCAGTCAATCCTCAGGACATATTGCAATATCTTACATGACATCGATGATTGCATGACCGCATTCAATCCTCCAGACATATTGCAATATCTTACATGGCATCGATGACCGCATTCAAACCAGTCAATCCTCAGGACATATTGCAATATCTTACATGACATCGATGATTGCATTCAAACCAGTCAATCCTCAGGACATATTGCAATATCTTACATGGCATCGATGACCGCATTCAAACCAGTCAATCCTCAGGACATATTGCAATATCTTACATGACATCGATGATTGCATTCAAACCTGTCAATCCTCAGGACATATTGCAATATCTTACATGGCATCGATGACCGCATTCAAACCAGTCAATCCTCAGGACATATTGCAATATCTTACATGACATCGATGACCGCATTCAAACCAGTTAATGCTCAGGACATATTGCAATATCTTACGCGTAATAGATGATTGCATTCAAATCAGTCAATCCTCAGGTCATATTGCAATATCTTACATGGCATCGATGACCGTATTCAAACCAGTCAATGCTCAGGACATACTGCAATATCTTACATTATATGCTCAGATGGCCAAACTGATCCCACCACTCCATCCAGAATTGCAAAGACGATATGAACCCCTGTGATGAAATCAATATTTTCAGAACCCACGTGTAGCCAGCCATGTGAGAATGGTGGAACCTGCGTCAGTGGAAGCTGTCAGTGTCTTAGTGGTTATACAGGGAGCTTTTGTGAATCAAGGGGTATGTAGGATTCAAGAAACACCGTCATCGACGACTAATCGAGACTGTATATTCTCTGGCTTTTGTGTTAATCGAAATTACTTGCAATATCTTACATGGCATCGATGACCGCATTCAAACCAGTCAATCCTCAGGACATATTGCAATATCTTACATGACATCGATGATTGCATTCAAACCTGTTAATCCTCAGGACATATTGCAATATCTTACATGGCATCGATGACCGCATTCAAACCAGTCAATCCTCAGGACATATTGCAATATCTTACATGACATCAATCCGCATTCAAACCAGTCAATGCTCAGGACATATTGCAATATCTTACATGACATCGATGATTGCATTCAAACCAGTCAATCCTCAGGACATATTGCAATATCTTACATGACATCGATGATTGCATTCAAACCAGTCAATGCTCAGGACATATTGCAATATCTTACATGACATCGATGATTGCATTCAAACCAGTCAATGCTCAGGACATATTGCAATATCTTACATGACATCGATGATTGCATTCAAACCAGTCAATCCTCAGGACATATTGCAATATCTTCATGGCATCGATGACCGCATTCAAACCTCAGGACATATTGCAATATCTTACATGACATCGATGACCGCATTCAAACGAGTCAATCCTCAGGACATATTACAATATCTTACATGGCATCGATGACCGCATTCAAACCAGTCAATCCTCAGGACATATTGCAATATCTTACATGACATCGATGATTGCATTCAAACCTGTTAATCCATGACATCGATGATTGCATTCAAACCAGTCAATCCTCAGGACATATTGCAATATCTTACATGGCATCGATGACTGCATTCAAACCAGTCAATCCTCAGGACATATTGCAATATCTTACATGACATCGATGATTGCATTCAAACCAGTCAATCCTCAGGACATATTGCAATATCTTACATGGCATCGATGACCGCATTCAAACCTCAGGACATATTGCAATATCTTACATGACATCGATGATCATTCAAACCAGTTAATGCTCAGGACATATTGCAATATCTTACGCGTATAGATGATTGCATTCAAATCAGTCAATCCTCAGGTCATATTGCAATATCTTACATGGCATCGATGACCGCATTCAAACCAGTCAATGCTCAGGACATACTGCAATATCTTACATTATATGCTCAGATGGCCAAACTGATCCCACCACTCCATCCAGAATTGCAAAGACGATATGAACCCCTGTGATGAAATCAATATTTTCAGAACCCACGTGTAGCCAGCCATGTGAGAATGGTGGAACCTGCGTCAGTGGAAGCTGTCAGTGTCTTAGTGGTTATACAGGGAGCTTTTGTGAATCAAGGGGTATGTAGGATTCAAGAAACACCGTCATCGACGACTAATCGAGACTGTATATTCTCTGGCTTTTGTGTTAATCGAAATTACTTGCAATATCTTACATGGCATCGATGATTGCATTCAAACCTGTTAATCCTCAGGACATATTGGAATATCTTACATGGCATCGATGACCGCATTCAAACCAGTCAATCCTCAGGACATATTGCAATATCTTACATGACATCGATGATTGCATTCAAACCAGTCAATCCTCAGGACATATTGCAATATCTTACATGGCATCGATGACCGCATTCAAACCAGTCAATCCTCAGGACATATTGCAATATCTTACATGACATCGATGACCGCATTCAAACCAGTTAATGCTCAGGACATATTGCAATATCTTACGCGTAATAGATGATTGCATTCAAATCAGTCAATCCTCAGGTCATATTGCAATATCTTACATGGCATCGATGACCGCATTCAAACCAGTCAATGCTCAGGACATACTGCAATATCTTACATTATATGCTCAGATGGCCAAACTGATCCCACCACTCCATCCAGAATTGCAAAGACGATATGAACCCCTGTGATGAAATCAATATTTTCAGAACCCACGTGTAGCCAGCCATGTGAGAATGGTGGAACCTGCGTCAGTGGAAGCTGTCAGTGTCTTAGTGGTTATACAGGGAGCTTTTGTGAATCAAGGGGTATGTAGGATTCAAGAAACACCGTCATCGACGACTAATCGAGACTGTATATTCTCTGGCTTTTGTGTTAATCGAAATTACTTGCAATATCTTACATGGCATCGATGACCGCATTCAAACCAGTCAATCCTCAGGACATATTGCAATATCTTACATGACATCGATGATTGCATTCAAACCTGTTAATCCTCAGGACATATTGCAATATCTTACATGGCATCGATGACCGCATTCAAACCAGTCAATCCTCAGGACATATTGCAATATCTTACATGACATCGATGATTGCATTCAAACCAGTCAATGCTCAGGACATATTGCAATATCTTACATGACATCGATGATTGCATTCAAACCAGTCAATCCTCAGGACATATTGCAATATCTTACATGACATCGATGATTGCATTCAAACCAGTCAATGCTCAGGACATATTGCAATATCTTACATGACATCGATGATTGCATTCAAACCAGTCAATCCTCAGGACATATTGCAATATCTTACATGGCATCGATGACCGCATTCAAACCAGTCAATCCTCAGGACATATTGCAATATCTTACATGACATCGATGACCGCATTCAAACCAGTCAATCCTCAGGACATATTGCAATATCTTACATGACATCGATGATTGCATTCAAACCAGTCAATCCTCAGGACATATTACAATATCTTACATGTCAGGACATATTGCATCTTATGACATCGACCGCATTCAAACCAGTCAATCCTCAGGACATATTGCAATATCTTACATGACATCGATGACCGCATTCAAACCAGTCAATCTCAGGACATATTGCAATATCTTACGCATAATAGATGATTGCATTCAAAATCAGTCAATCCTCAGGTCATATTGCAATATCTTACATGGCATCGATGACCGCATTCAAACCAGTCAATGCTCAGGACATACTGCAATATCTTACATTATATGCTCAGATGGCCAAACTGATCCCACCACTCCATCCAGAATTGCAAAGACGATATGAACCCCTGTGATGAAATCAATATTTTCAGAACCCACGTGTAGCCAGCCATGTGAGAATGGTGGAACCTGCGTCAGTGGAAGCTGTCAGTGTCTTAGTGGTTATACAGGGGAGCTTTTGTGAATCAAGGGGTATGTAGGATTCAAGAAACACCGTCATCGACGACTAATCGAGACTGTATATTCTCTGGCTTTTGTGTTAATCGAAATTACTTGCAATATCTTACATGGCATCGATGATTGCATTCAAACCAGTCAATCCTCAGGACATATTGCAATATCTTACATGGCATCGATGACTGCATTCAAACCAGTCAATCCTCAGGACATATTGCAATATCTTACATGATATCGATGACCGCATTCAAACCAGTCAATCCTCAGGACATATTGCAATATCTTACATGACATCGATGATTCCTCAGGACATTTGCAATATCTTACAGTCGATGACCGCATTCAAACCAGTCAATCCTCAGGACATATTGCAATATCTTACATGACATCGATGACCGCATTCAAACCAGTTAATGCTCAGGACATATTGCAATATCTTACGCGTAACAGATGATTGCATTCAAATCAGTCAATCCTCAGGTCATATTGCAATATCTTACATGGCATCGATGACCGCATTCAAACCAGTCAATGCTCAGGACGTACTGCAATATCTTACATTATATGCTCAGATGGCCAAACTGATCCCACCACTCCATCCAGAATTGCAAAGACGATATGAACCCCTGTGATGAAATCAATATTTTCAGAACCCACGTGTAGCCAGCCATGTGAGAATGGTGGAACCTGCGTCAGTGGAAGCTGTCAGTGTCTTAGTGGTTATACAGGGAGCTTTTGTGAATCAAGGGATATGTAGGATTCAAGAAACACCGTCATCAACGACTAATCGAGACTGTATATTCTCTGGCTTTTGTGTTAATCGAAATTACTTGCAATATCTTACATGGCATCGATGACCGCATTCAAACCAGTCAATCCTCAGGACATATTGCAATATCTTACATGACATCGATGATTGCATTCAAACCTGTTAATCCTCAGGACATATTGCAATATCTTACATGGCATCGATGACCGCATTCAAACCAGTCAATCCTCAGGACATATTGCAATATCTTACATGACATCGATGATTGCATTCAAACCAGTCAATGCTCAGGACATATTGCAATATCTTACGCGACATCGATGATTGCATTCAAACCAGTCAATCCTCAGGACATATTGCAATATCTTACATGGCATCGATGACCGCATTCAAACCTCAGGACATATTGCAATATCTTACATGACATCGATGACCGCATTCAAACGAGTCAATCCTCAGGACATATTGCAATATCTTACATGACATCGATGACCGCATTCAAACCAGTCAATCCTCAGGACATATTGCAATATCTTACATGGCATCGATGACCGCATTCAAACCAGTCAATCCTCAGGACATATTGCAATATCTTACATGGCATCGATGACCGCATTCAAACCAGTCAATCCTCAGGACATATTGCAATATCTTACATGATATCGATGATTGCATTCAAACCAGTCAATCCTCAGGACATATTGCAATATCTTACATGGCATCGATGATTGCATTCAAACCAGTCAATCCTCAGGACATATTGCAATATCTTACATGACATCGATGACCGCATTCAAACCAGTCAATCCTCAGGACATATTGCAATATCTTACATGACATCGATGATTGCATTCAAACCAGTCAATCCTCAGGACATATTGCAATATCTTACATGGCATCGATGACCGCATTCAAACCAGTCAATCCTCAGGACATATTGCAATATCTTACATGACATCGATGATTGCATTCAAACCAGTCAATCCTCAGGACATATTGCAATATCTTACATGACATCGATGATTGCATTCAAACCAGTCAATCCTCAGGACATATTGCAATATCTTACATGACATCGATGACCGCATTCAAACCAGTCAATCCTCAGGACATATTGCAATATCTTACATGACATCGATGACCGCATTCAAACCAGTCAATGCTCAGGACATATTGCAATATCTTACATGACATCGATGATTGCATTCAAACCAGTCAATCCTCAGGACATATTGCAATATCTTCATGGCATCGATGACCGCATTCAAACCTCAGGACATATTGCAATATCTTACATGACATCGATGACCGCATTCAAACCAGTCAATCCTCAGGACATATTGCAATATCTTACATGGCATCGATGACCGCATTCAAACCAGTCAATCCTCAGGACATATTGCAATATCTTACATGGCATCGATGACCGCATTCAAACCAGTCAATCCTCAGGACATATTGCAATATCTTACATGGCATCGATGACCGCATTCAAACCAGTCAATCCTCAGGACATATTGCAATATCTTACATGGCATCGATGATTGCATTCAAACCAGTCAATCCTCAGGACATATTGCAATATCTTACATGACATCGATGATTGCATTCAAACCAGTCAATCCTCAGGACATATTGCAATATCTTACATGACATCGATGACCGCATTCAAACCAGTCAATCCTCAGGACATATTGCAATATCTTACATGGCATCGATGACCGCATTCAAACCAGTCAATCCTCAGGACATATTGCAATATCTTACATGACATCGATGACCGCATTCAAACCAGTCAATGCTCAGGACATATTGCAATATCTTACATGGCATCGATGATTGCATTCAAACCAGTCAATCCTCAGGACATATTGCAATATCTTACATGGCATCGATGACCGCATTCAAACCAGTCAATCCTCAGGACATATTGCAATATCTTACATGACATCGATGACCGCATTCAAACCAGTCAATCCTCAGGACATATTGCAATATCTTACATGGCATCGATGACCGCATTCAAACCAGTCAATCCTCAGGACATATTGCAATATCTTACATGACATCGATGATTGCATTCAAACCAGTCAATCCTCAGGACATATTGCGATATCTTACATGACATCGATGATTGCATTCAAACCAGTCAATCCTCAGGACATATTGCAATATCTTACATGGCATCGATGACCGCATTCAAACCAGTCAATCCTCAGGACATATTGCAATATCTTACATGACATCGATGATTGCATTCAAACCAGTCAATCCTCAGGACATATTGCAATATCTTACATGGCATCGATGACCGCATTCAAACCAGTCAATCCTCAGGACATATTGCAATATCTTACATGACATCGATGACCGCATTCAAACCAGTTAATGCTCAGGACATATTGCAATATCTTACGCGTAATAGATGATTGCATTCAAATCAGTCAATCCTCAGGTCATATTGCAATATCTTACATGGCATCGATGACCGCATTCAAACCAGTCAATGCTCAGGACGTACTGCAATATCTTACATTATATGCTCAGATGGCCAAACTGATCCCACCACTCCATCCAGAATTGCAAAGACGATATGAACCCCTGTGATGAAATCAATATTTTCAGAACCCACGTGTAGCCAGCCATGTGAGAATGGTGGAACCTGCGTCAGTGGAAGCTGTCAGTGTCTTAGTGGTTATACAGGGAGCTTTTGTGAATCAAGGGGTATGTAGGATTCAAGAAACACCGTCATCGACGACTAATCGAGACTGTATATTCTCTGGCTTTTGTGTTAATCGAAATTACTTGCAATATCTTACATGGCATCGATGACCGCATTCAAACCAGTCAATCCTCAGGACATATTGCAATATCTTACATGACATCGATGATTGCATTCAAACCTGTTAATCCTCAGGACATATTGCAATATCTTACATGGCATCGATGACCGCATTCAAACCAGTCAATCCTCAGGACATATTGCAATATCTTACATGACATCGATGATTGCATTCAAACCAGTCAATTTGCAAACCAGTCAATGCTCAGGGACATATTGCAATATCTTACATGACATCGATGATTGCATTCAAACCAGTCAATCCTCAGGACATATTGCAATATCTTACATGACATCGATGACCGCATTCAAACCAGTCAATGCTCAGGACATATTGCAATATCTTACATGACATCGATGATTGCATTCAAACCAGTCAATCCTCAGGACATATTGCAATATCTTACATGGCATCGATGACCGCATTCAAACCTCAGGACATATTGCAATATCTTACATGACATCGATGACCGCATTCAAACCAGTCAATCCTCAGGACATATTGCAATATCTTACATGGCATCGATGACCGCATTCAAACCAGTCAATCCTCAGGACATATTGCAATATCTTACATGGCATCGATGACCGCATTCAAACCAGTCAATCCTCAGGACATATTGCAATATCTTACATGACATCGATGATTGCATTCAAACCAGTCAATCCTCAGGACATATTACAATATCTTACATAGCATCGATGATTGCATTCAAACCAGTCAATCCTCAGGACATATTGCAATATCTTACATGACATCGATGATTGCATTCAAACCAGTCAATCCTCAGGACATATTGCAATATCTTACATGGCATCGATGACCGCATTCAAACCAGTCAATCCTCAGGACATATTGCAATATCTTACATGACATCGATGATTGCATTCAAACCAGTCAATCCTCAGGACATATTGCAATATCTTACATGGCATCGATGACCGCATTCAAACCAGTCAATCCTCAGGACATATTGCAATATCTTACATGACATCGATGACCGCATTCAAACCAGTCAATGCTCAGGACATATTGCAATATCTTACACGTAATAGATGATTGCATTCAAATCAGTCAATCCTCAGGTCATATTGCAATATCTTACATGGCATCGATGACCGCATTCAAACCAGTCAATGCTCAGGACATACTGCAATATCTTACATTATATGCTCAGATGGCCAAACTGATCCCACCACTCCATCCAGAATTGCAAAGACGATATGAACCCCTGTGATGAAATCAATATTTTCAGAACCCACGTGTAGCCAGCCATGTGAGAATGGTGGAACCTGCGTCAGTGGAAGCTGTCAGTGTCTTAGTGGTTATACAGGGAGCTTTTGTGAATCAAGGGGTATGTAGGATTCAAGAAACACCGTCATCGACGACTAATCGAGACTGTATATTCTCTGGCTTTTGTGTTAATCGAAATTACTTGCAATATCTTACATGGCATCGATGACCGCATTCAAACCAGTCAATCCTCAGGACATATTGCAATATCTTACATGACATCGATGATTGCATTCAAACCTGTTAATCCTCAGGACATATTGCAATATCTTCAAACCAGTCACATGGCATCGATGACCGCATTCAAACCAGTCAATCCTCAGGACATATTGCAATATCTTACATGACATCGATGATTGCATTCAAACCAGTCAATCCTCAGGACATATTGCAATATCTTACATGACATCGATGATTGCATTCAAACCAGTCAATCCTCAGGACATATTGCAATATCTTACATGACATCGATGATTGCATTCAAACCAGTCAATCCTCAGGACATATTGCAATATCTTACATGACATCGATGATTGCATTCAAACCAGGACATATTGCAATATCTTACATGCATCAGATGACATTCAAACCAGTCAATCCTCAGGACATATTGCAATATCTTACATGACATCGATGATTGCATTCAAACCAGTCAATCCTCAGGACATATTGCAATATCTTACATGGCATCGATGACCGCATTCAAACCAGTCAATCCTCAGGACATATTGCAATATCTTACATGACATCGATGACCGCATTCAAACCAGTTAATGCTCAGGACATATTGCAATATCTTACACGTAATAGATGATTGCATTCAAATCAGTCAATCCTCAGGTCATATTGCAATATCTTACATGGCATCGATGACCGTATTCAAACCAGTCAATGCTCAGGACATACTGCAATATCTTACATTATATGCTCAGATGGCCAAACTGATCCCACCACTCCATCCAGAATTGCAAAGACGATATGAACCCTGTGATGAAATCAATATTTTCAGAACCCACGTGTAGCCAGCCATGTGAGAATGGTGGAACCTGCGTCAGTGGAAGCTGTCAGTGTCTTAGTGGTTATACAGGGAGCTTTTGTGAATCAAGGGGTATGTAGGATTAAAGAAACACCGTCATCGACGACGGCAAAGGGTTTGTTATTAGAATGGAAAAGTGAGTGAGTGAGTTAATATTTATCAAACATGTGTTTATTTATGCACAGTGACATGAAAGTTGAATGATGCATAGTGAGTTAGTTAACATTTAGCATCACATCGTTTTTGCAACCATATCGTGACGAGAAGAATTTAATTTATATCAATATTAAAATCAATAAATTAAAACGTAAAAACCTGTCATCAAGGGACAATTAAAACTGCTAGAGTATCACGGCCCTTAAATTTAAAACAAGTACGCTATCATAAACATAAATCACTAGAAAACAATACAATATAAAAAAAATGGGCTATAGATCACCAACAACTGAAGGTTGATCACCATACTGTGTAATTTGGGACTTACGGCAAAAGTACCGTTGCTACCTACATGGACCCTAGCTGGATTTACATCATCCCTTCAGCCGCTGTCTAATTTAGCCAAAATTAAAAATCACAAAAATTCTACGCTTAAAATCCTGGCAAGTTTTAAATTTACTTTGAAAGTTTCGGGACATACGTACCCACTCAGGAGGCCAATAACTTTACAATACTTTAACCACCCTTGAGGGTACAGCCACTAACAATCTAAGCTACTCATTTAAACTTCCAATCATTAAAAGATATCTATCTACAAATGATATCAATCAAAATTTATCAATCAGTTCAAAGTCTTGTAAAACCACAATAATTAAATGATAATTAACTGATCAAGATATATTCTTTGCGCTAGGTGTTCATAACACAAACCACCCGAAGAAGAGTTTTACTATCTTGACTTTCCAGTGGAAAGTTGTAGATGAAATTAATTAGAATACTAGAACTGATTCTTGTCCTAATCCATGTTATCTGAATTTGCGTGTCTCTTTTCAGACTGCTGATTCTGAGGGCAACGTTTGTCAGTCACTATGGTGTGTCCATAATATCACGTTGGGACACGTCTCAAGTGTTACAGTGGCAATAAAACAGTGTTGTAAACAGCGTCCTTCTTTAATCCACTTAGTACCTTGTGCCAAGGATTTCAGAGCATCACGCAGCCGGAGATCAAACGGCCTACCGCACACTGAAGAAACTCTATCCACTATGAACCACAGTGGTGGTCTTCTGGCAGCTGACCTATCTGCTAAACCCTAAGGGCAGTCTCCACACAGACAGGCAGTCTCTGGGCAGATAATCGATCAACTGCAGCTCATTCTGAATTGTACGAAGATCCTGAAGGGACATGCGCGTGGCCAAAAATAGAAAAATAATCTCGTAATAACGATTTATAATCTCGTAATTAAGACTTTAAAACTCGTTATAACAACTTTCTAAACACTCGTAATAACGACTTTTGGTAACCTTCATCTACTTCTGAATTTGGTCTTCTGCACGGACTGCTTGAGTTCATGGTTAGGCCCATCTTGATGAGCATCTGGTCTTTAGAGTCCTGCTAAACATCCTTGCTTGCCTTCTTAATACCTCCACGATAGTTGCATCCCATGGTTGGGCACACCACACAAAATGACTGTATTACCCAAATTTACTAACGTTAGGACATAAACGTTTCATCCGGCGGCCACACGAACAAACGTTTGAAATCTACGTATCATCTGGCTGTCAGATTTACACACGTTTAAAGGGGTGTAAAAAATAAATGAACACTCAACTCTATTTACATGTATTTCACAGGTGTGTAAATCTGGCCATTGTTTTCATGTGTTTTCTAGCATGTGTAACATATGTAAATGCTGTGATTGTAGGACATGCACTTTAATACCTTTGAAATCTCGTATGACCAGGGTTAGGTTTGTCATAATTTTATACACGCGTAAATGGTTGGTAATTGGTAAATATAGTGTTACAAGATCAACACTACTTCAACATGTATTTCAGTGGTTCTGTAATGTAACTGTCACATCGGGTTCGTTAGCGCGTCGGACCACGCCATAATGCACTGAGATCATTAGAAAAACATGGCGAAGTGATACCATGACTGGTACTGATAAGTCTTTCTGATCAGCAGGTTATACCGTTTTATACCTTTGCAATGGAAATTACATTATAGTTTAAATATCTGACAGGTACACTTCGGTTGGAGTCCTATTTTACCTACAGAAAACATGTAGGCGATTGGGGGAATACAAAATGCACTCCTATTGAGGGAATGGACTTCACTTTCTGAAATTAAGGAAGTTCAGTTTCACAATGTATGAGTAAAAACATAAGTATATCATTGTCTTTAAATGGAGTCAACTTATAATCAGTGTTTATATTAGCAATTGGCTTTAAGGATTAATGCTATGAAGATAAAACAGTTTGTGATTATAAACAAATATTAACTCTTTCCTGCATATGAGTACAGGGGTTATTAGTAAAGGGATAGTTTTAATTAGCTATTCAATATAAGATTAAAAGATCAAAGTTCAAACTAATTACTTCGTTTAAAATTGGGATAGGATGATCTCATACTAATGTATAAAATGGGAAAGTCAACAGGCTAGAAAGTAATCGAACATGGCTAATCTTCAGCGAGCAGAGTTTGTCTCGTCACCGGTGGGAGGAAGACAAGTTTTACGTGCAGGCCACAGGTAGCGCCTGAATGTGGAGCGTCAACTAACTACACACTGGTAGTATGTGATCCAGGGATGCCAAGGAAGATGCAGCACCATTGTATTATCATTTGCTGTGAGAATAAAATATGAAAGAAAACGTTTTATTTTTTAATGCAAAAGCCATTTTCGTGTGCATGTGCTACCTATCAAATTAAAGGAAAACTAAGGGGAGATTCCATTTATATCTGAAGGGGGTAAACTTATTACTCATGCATGAAATAACAATCACCAGACCATAAATTTGTTGTTTTAAGACTGTAGGCGAAATGGGATGTAGGCGAAATGGGAACATGCCGTACACTTCTTATATATAACATACAAGGAGACTGCGTATTGCAATAAAACACAGACAGGTGTGTTCACACAGACATGAATGAGTAGGTCCCTAATTTTAGTGGATCACTTGTATGAGTTATCATACTCACGATCATAACTATCTATACTTTCAAAAAAAAGATGATTACAATGTATTAATGATTCTCGATGTCAAATTACTGTAACAGTTGTAAATGTGTTAAGATGCACATACTTGGTATTAGAGCTGTGTTTCGTAGCCTAAGTGGGGAGACGATATATCCTGATACCAGTTTAATGAAGCGAGACGATATATCATGAGTGAGTGAGATAAAGTTTATAGTCATAGTGGCAATATTTCAGCTTATAAAAATGGGTAAAATAGTTATAAATTCATTAAAACCCGTGTTACATTCACACACACACACACACAATAATAATAATAATAACAATATCAATAATAACTTC